AATTTTAATTTTTAAATATAAATTTTTTAAATTAAATTTAATATTTAATAAAATAAAATTTTTTATTTTTCAATTAAAATTTTAATTTTTAAATATAAATTTAAACTTTAATTTTAAAAAAATTTAAAATTAATATACACTAATAACTTAATTTTAACTTCAATTTTATTTAAACATTTATAATATCAATATAGAGATGCACATCTTTAAGGAACCACTAACTAGTATTACTTCATTCATGAACCCTGACCATAACTTTTGTGAAACCATGTATGCTTTACCTATCCATATTCCCCCTCCCCCAATATAGCCGCAATTTTCCTCCGTTAAAAAAAAATATATTATTTCATTGATGACTATTTCTTTGATAAATGAAAAAATTTTCATTGATGACGACTAATATGGTAGGTGACAGTGGCCATTAATTCAATTCAGTGAGCCTATACTGCCATTGCGCTCAAAACATATATGGGGATGAAATCTAAAAATTGGGTCCCCCTTTTTTCTATCTCTCTCTATCTCTTATTTTTATTCTTTTTTTTTTCTTTCACTTCTTTCTCAATTCTTTCCATCTTTTTTATATTTTTTCTTTCTCTTACTCCATTTTATACATTTATTTTATTATTTATATTTTTTTAAAAAATAAAAAAAATTTAATAATATATTTATAATTTTTTTATATAGAGATACCTTGATTTTTAAAGTTATAAAATTAATTTATATACTAAATTGACATTTTTGTCTTTCAAATATAATTATTCTTTATTCACAAATTCTTTATAATCTAATAATATTTATTAATAAAAATTGAGTCTTACCCTCTTTCTATCTTTCTCATCACTTCTTTTCTTTTTCTTTCTCTCATCTGATTCTCTAAAACTAAATGGTACACTCAAGGATAACATGTCTATATGTCTATATGGAAAGAGAAGAAATTTTTTGACTTATGAAGATAATTTTATAAATGACGAATAACATCCATGTAGGCAGTAAAAGAAATTTTTTAGAGTCTGAAGGGTATTTTGAAATTTTTGGTTTGTTTTGAGGGTAATTTTTGCAAGAAGTTTTGAAAAAGATTATTTTTGTTATATTTCTATTATTTTGTAATATTAATGTATTTTTAATTTTAGAATTTACACTTAGTATATATTGATCAAAATGGAATGCCTATTGAAACAAAATTAAACAAACAAGTAAATAAAATTCTTATTTATCTAGTTTTAATAATTTTATTGATTACTCTATATATTTTTATATTTTTTTCTTTTAACAAACAAGATTTCAGTTCACTTCTTATCATTACAAAGCTCTAATCTTTGTTTTTCTTTTTTTTTTTTTTTTTTTTGTATGACCATCCGGTATC